ATGGATGACATACTATCTTTAACCGAATAGCCAGGCGCCCCAGAATAATATGCATAGAAGATCCTTTCAGGAGAACGAATGAATGCTTTACCAAGCGAATTGGTATAAACTGCATCCCCAAGCATCTTGTGCCACAAGGAAACAATACATTTCGTCTTCTATCAGAATAACAGAGACATCCACCTGGTGAGAAAGATCCTGACAGTCGGTCGGCCGAATATGAATTAGACTTTCGAAAGAGACGCTAAACAGGTGGTGGGCTTTATACTTCAACCCTTTTACAATTTTCAATATCAAAACTGGGTGCCCCGGAATAAGGGATACATTTAGCATGTGTATCACAATCAAAAGAGATGTTTGTGGGAAGGAGGACCCTAAAGATTAGATCTTTACCAATTGAACTTCCACCAGGCAAGGGAATAGTTGGATGTAATGCCCTAGGATCGCATCAAATGCTCATCAGGCTTCTTCTGTCTTGGCTTAAAAGCTTTTTTTTCATGAATTCACTAGGGAACAAAGACTGGATGCTATCAAACCTATCAGAGAACGCAAAGATGTAGAGAGTGCCCCTGATTGAATAGTCGGATGCCCCAGTGTGGTAACCACATCTGACGTTGGTATCATGAACGAAGCATTGATACAAGATCCCATAGTAAGTGGGAACCATCTGCTGATAAGATGTTCCGATGACCCCAGATTGTGTAGCACTCCATGATTGAAAGTAATTCCATGACCTGGCTCACCTGAGTCTTCTATCGATTATCTTCCTTCTTGAAGGATTCTCGACCACGGGCCAAAACTTGCATGTATACCACAACTAACCTTATCGGGATCTTCGTATCAATCAATCCCCCACAGAGTTATCCGTACTTGGTCTCTGAACGTGTGAAGCAAGGAATCAAGTTTGAACCTCTGAAGAGAGCACCAGGTCTGAATAAGAATCCCCAATCTCCGAGTACCTGTTATGGATACATGAATATGCATGGGGTGCATGAACGGATTCCATGTCATGTTCTGTCATTTCCAAGGAATTTGCATGCTTTGATATTGATTTTACGCAAGTGAGGGATGGAAAAGTTCAATGCAAGACTTGCAAATACAATTCCCTGGAAATAACAGAACATGTATGTTAAGCATGTGGTTAACCATGTTATGTATGCAAAGACATGGGATCAAATGGGATCAAGGTTCCATCATTTCTGAAAATGATTGCTGCACTATTTTGAATCATATGAATATCATCAGATCAAAGGTCTGACATAGCTTCTGCATATATAAGAACCAAGTACCATGTAGATCATCAATTGTAAGAGATCAAGGCTTCTAGAACCGGGTGCTATTGAGCTTTTTCTGAACATGCTGGAAATACCAAGATCGAAGGCCCGAATGAACCTCCAAGTAAACAAGTCGGGAACTCCGAAAATAAATCAGAGAACCATATGGTCACCAACAACATATAGCATATGAATAAGTCATCAACAAAAATCCATAACATAACCATTAGAACAAATAATCACCATCTGAACATGATTAACCATCTGAACATAGTAATCATCTGAACATAGTCACCATCTGAACATAGTCACTAACAGAAATCTAGAACATAATCATTAGAATAAATAATCACTGTCTGAGCATAGTCACCATCTGTACCTGTGATAATAATATTCCCGCCCCACTCATGGGTGAAGACTAGGTTAGGGTAAGGCAATGGTAACTCAAAATCACGGGTTCGCTTGAGAGTACTATCATCGTACACCTATATGATAATGATATCACCTCATTAAAACCTCATCTGAGTGTGGACGACACGGCCGTATAGGGCAATCTACATCCCTTATCCGTCATGTTCCACTCTATTTATAGTGTTCCCATGGTTGTCACTTGGCCTGGGTATTGAGCCTTTTACCTCTTGTAACACCTACCTAGTAAGAAACAGATCCAGTACAGCAGTAGTATATGGAAGACAGTAAAATGATACATATGCTCAGGTAAACATGTATGAATGAATAAACTGAAAGCATAAAAATAAACACCCAAAGAGAAGAAACAAGATCTAGGAGCGACTCTGGGATGGACCAGCATTTAATCGACTTGTCCCCATTGAAGTCGCCAGCTGAAACAACCGGCTGAAAATCATCAAAAAATGAAGTCACCATCGAATGTCTTTTATCCCGCCTGAAGGGAAATGTAAACAAAGAGAAAACCTGAGAATGAAGAAGTCACGGTCTTGTGACCGAGAAATCGGGTAAGGGATCTGTTACGCGAGGGGAAGGTATTAGCACCCCACACGCCCGTAGTACTCTATGGTATCCACTCTTGTTATCTATCTTATGGGCGTGTTTAAACTATTCTTACTGTTTACTACTGCTAAAATGAGAATGCATGCAAAATAAAGGAGAAAATAATGTAGGGAAAATAAAGTTGTACTCGCATGAGCCCTACCCCAATGCTTACGTATCCTTTTTGAGGAATCAGAGCTACCGTAGTTCAGCTAACATGTTTTTGTTTGTTTTGTGTTTTTTATGGACAATGTTAATTCCGCCTTCTTCCGCAGCTCGACCGTTGGAGACTTATGTGTTGGCACAAAAGTAAATAAATCATGTCCTTACCTGAAAAGGGTTTTTAGAGCAAAGGTGCTTGGACGCACAAAAAGGTTTGAATTGGTTTGTATTTTGTTACCTTGAAAAGGGGTTTAAGTGAGATTAGCATGTTTTTGATTTGTTAAGAAAAGGTTTTAGTTTTAAATGCAAAGATACAAAAGGGGAAGAAAAGAGTCTAAGGGAGACTAGCCTATTTCTAACCTAATGTTATCATACAATGGTAGTCCTATGGTTTGGATTAACAAAAGGGAAACATCTACCTAATGTTATCATGCATGGTTTGTAACCTAAGGTCTAACTTGCGTCTGAAGGGAGCAAGCACACCCTAAGGGAACATGGTATGTACAAGGATAAAGCAAACAAGATAATAAGCTCAAGAGAGCACACCTAGAGAGATCCTATCTAGGTTAGCATGCCAAAGAAAGTCTAACAAAACTATCCTATAGGGAACATGCAATGAGAGCAAAGTCGTGATCTTAATTCCTAAATTGAGTGACTCATTGATCAACAAGAAATAAAGGAAAGAGATAAAATCCTATAGAGATCATGTACTGAGAGCGAAGTCGTGATCCCAATTTCTAAATTAAGTGACTCATCGATCAATAAGAAATAAAGGAAAGCGATAAAATCCTATAGGGAGCATGCACTGAGAGAAAAATCGTGATCTCAATTTCTAAATTGAGTGACTCATTGATAAATAACCAAAGAAACAAACACAAGCACAACACATATAGAAAATGAAGTGCGGAATGCCTGCTACAGGTCTTTAAACATCGACTTTGAGCGCACACTCTTTATTTCCTACTTCTCATGGTATCTAGAAAGCAGTAAAATCCTACTTCTCATGATATCTAGAAAAGCGGTAAATAAATGTAGTAAAGTGGGAAGAAGTATGAAGGTAGTAGCGGCGACTACCAAAGCGAGCAAGTCGTCAAGAGAAGACAAAAGCACCAGAGAAGCAGGGAGTACACATCGAGAAAGCTTCACCAAGAAACAAACAAAGTCGGAAATGATATCCAAATAAGATAAAGGCAAACGCGTGTTGCGAATGCAACGCGTAATCAGAAGTTCCTGCATAAAGCGTCATATAATATCACATGCATCACGACAACACATAATACGATATGAATTTCTAAGGACAATGAGAAATAAGGCGTGTCGCATCAGAAGCGAGCATAAGCTGTATGCTTTGATCACCTAACTATCTGTTATGTTACATGATCGAAAGCACAAAATGTACCTTGCACAATGAACAAACGCGTCAAAATATAACATGGCAAAGCGGCACGAAAATACTGATAAAAACTAAAAGAGAAAAAGTATTTTTTACTAGTTTTTTATGTAAAGAGAATTCTAAAAAAAACTAAATAATTAATTCCTAAAAAAAACTATTATATTGTTCTACTATTTTTATGTGGTTTCATATTATTTTTATCTTGTATTATATTGACAAAAATAAACACAAAAATACTAAATCTAACAAAGAATTAATGAATTCATGAGGGTGTTGATCTGATTCCAGGGGTGTGTGGTAGAAACCAGGGCGTTAGGCCCATCATGCAGTAAGATCCACCAATAATTTTTTTGTTCAATTGTAAAACAGATTTGAAAAAAGGTGTAAAACAGGCTTCAAAGGAAGGTGTAATCAGCGAATAGCCCACAACATCACCAATCCATTATCCAACTTCTTATCATCATTACAATTATCTAAAAAAGAAAATAAAATAATGAAATAACAAAAATGAAACCCCAAAACGGTTGCGTTTTGTAATCTTGCATTAGGGTTACCAAGATGTAACGCTTCAGCTTCTCTCAAAGAGAGAACTCTCTTCCTTCATCCGTAACGGCTCAACTCCCTCTCCGCCGAATCAATATTGCACCGTCGTACCGGTCCCAACGTCTAGATTCTTTGATTACCACCACCGCCGTCTCAATCTTCACCCTCTATTCCTTCACTTTAATTTTGAATTCATCCCCTGTCTCGCTTCTAAAAACCTAAAAACTTAGGAGCACAATCGAACGCCGACATAGACGAATTTGAAAGTAAGGCCTTAGGGTTAATGTTCATAACGCCTCAGACAACATTATAGCATCGAGAAAAATGAAGAAAAGATGGAGATAGATAGGTTTTTGGTACTTACTGGTCGGAGTCTCTCCGACGGTGTTTCAATGAGCCGACGAAACCAAGAAATCCAGAGACGAACAACTCATATATGCATTCGGTCTTCTTCCGCTAATTCTTTTTCCCCTTCTGAAATTCTGTGATGTGCGACGCTTACTGATATTGACGTTGTTGAAGTTTTGTTGCGTGTAAAGGTGATGATGATAGAGATCGAGGTGTGAAGAAGGTTTTGCAGGGAGAGGGAAGATCGATGGAGGTTACAGTAGGTGATGAAGATGCTAAGCAAAGTTATAACACAATTTTTGAAGGGTGGAGATGCTAAACGACGGAGGATTATGGAAGATGAAGGTGGAGCATAGTGATGAAGATTTATAAAGAGAAAGAAATTTTGGTGATTCTGATTGAAGAAACTTGAAGAAGAGGAAGAGAAATTCAGAGCGTTCTTAAGATTTTTGGTGAGTTTTCTATAACTGATTTCTTTGTGAGTTTTTGATTGAATCTGAAATCATGAATCCTCCTTCCCCTTTTCTGTTTTCTCAAATATGTTATCATTCTGTTATAGGTTTTTGTTAGGTCTGTTAGAGGTCGTTGAAAGGAGGAGAAAAATTCAGTTATGGTAGTTAATAGGTTTGGAATTAGTTCTCCTTTATTTTGCCGTTAGTAAACCTGTTATGGTTTTTTGGTTAATTGAAATAGAGGTCAGAGGCTTAAGCTGTTAGTTGGAAAAAGTTGGTTAGAAAACAGTTAGGTTTCTGTTTAGTGGTTATGTTAGAAGTTGTTTGGAGTTTTTAGAGGAGTAGGATGTTAGAGAGCTATTTTTGTTGTTGCCGTTTGGAGAAGTTAGGAAGTTATAAAAGCTATTACAGTTAGTTAGAAAACTGTTAAAGGTTAGTCGAAGTTTGTTGGACTATTTGGAGAGGAAGTTAGCAATTCTGTTTTGACAGTTGGAGCAGTTAGGAAAATGGCAGATTGATTGGTTAGGAAATTTTTCTGTTGGGGAATGTTTTGGGAGTTGTTAGAAATTGCTGAGCTGGAATTCTGTTAGGAATTTCTATTTTGAATCGTGAAAAATCCCTCCCTCTCTCCTCTGTTTTTCTGTTAAGCTTGCTGGAAGTAGTTAGAAATTCGTTACTGCAGTTAGAGGATAGACAATTGTTTTGGCTGTTATTAAATGAGTTGTTAATTTCTGTTTTAATCCCTTCTCCATTTCCTGCAGGCCGACTATTATGTTAATGCAGGGGCTAGTTTTTTGTAGCAGCCTGATCTTCTATTTTTTGCTCATCTGTGCAGGGTGATTTGGAAGTGAACTAGCTTTTGATCAAATTACTGAGTGAAGTGAATTGCAGGTTCCCATATTAATCGAATTGCCCTGAGTCTGGATTTCTAATGAATTGAACATCGATGCAGTAAACTGGCGCAGGTTGGTGTTATGTTAGCTGTTTTTTCTTTATCTACATATATTCTATTATTACATGAGCCGGCTATTTTTTATTGTGAAATGGTTTTGACGAATGATGCAGGGTAATTGGTATACAAGAACTGGTTTTGAATTGGATTTTTATGATCTATTTTCGGTTAGTGAAAAGCAAGGATAGTCATGAAAGCTCGACATTGATAAGTGGCTTATGAGCATAAAGGATTGAGGAATAGCAAGAAGATGAGTCGAGGCTTTAGAGAAGCATGAGTTCAGGGAATGGAACATGGAAATTGGTGTAGACCCATTCTTAGGTTTGAAGAGTTGATAAAATTAAGGATGAGTACATGTCTAGAATTAAGAATTATGAGTCTTGAATCATCTCCCGTTGTCATATAATCCTTTCAACACAATCTAAATGAATTGGTTTGGAACTTGAATGAGTATTTGTAGTGAGAGAAAAATTGAATGAAGTTGAATAGCTTTTGTAATGAAATGATTAAGTGTTGAACACGATGAATAAGGTGAAGATGATTATGATGAATGAGTGTCTCTTTATAACTTTGCGCAACGATTTGAATTTGTAATGAACAAACTCCCTGAATGTAATGGCCTTGTTATCTTAAGGTCCTTCTGTGAAATTTAGATGAATTTATGGTTAACATAACATGTGCTTCAAATGGCCAAATTTAGTGAACTCTTGAACTTTGCCTAATGCTGTTGAATGGTCATGAATCCCTTTACTTGATTTTTGCAATTGAACTATGGGAGTTACTTAACCAATGTCTCGAATTCATCTCCTCCACTAAAACTCTAATTCAACTCTTCGAATAATTTGTGTGGCAAGCTTATCTTGAACCAACCATTGAAAAATCATGAACTTAATAAGACCTCGAACCAATATTAAATCCGAGCATGATCAGAAGTTTCAACAAATCTGAATCAATAATCATTTCTCTCAGTAATCCAAATTAACTTGCAATTGAAGTGGAAAGTATTTGATGAGAACCAAAAATTGTATCATTAAAAACAAGTCCACAATGTCAGAGAAGGAGAGGCTCAAGATAACCACAAGATCAGGCCCTAATCCATTGATCCCCAGTTGAAGCATAATAGACGAAAACCCTAATTCTTAAGCCTTGAAGAAAGATTGCAACTTGGGGTTGAGAAGAAAGAATATCCCTGTAGTTTGATGATAGAGAAGTCCAGGAAATAAAACCCTAGACTCAAACAAATGATTGATGGAGAAATCAACCGAAACAAGCGTGTGTGAAGATGATAGCCTTAAAGCCATACAACAACCCTAATTCCTCCATATCTTTGATCACATGCCATATTTTATTGATTAATGAATGAATGATGTTGTTAGAAGACCTAATGGAAGTTATGTACGTAAGAAAAATGTGAGATGCGTAAGCCAGATAAAAATAAAAAAGGGTAGGAAAAATTTGGGGTATTACATCAGGTAGCCTTCGACAAAATTAAGGAGTATCTCAAGGAACCTCCAATTCTAATGCCACCGGTTGAAGGAAGACCTTTGATCATGTACCTGACAGTATTAGAGAACTTAATGGGGTGCGTATTGGGGAAACATGATGAGTCTGGTCGAAAAGAGCATGCAATATACTACCTTAGTAAAAAGTTTACCGACTGTGAAACAAGATACTCACTGCTCGAGAAAACTTTCTGCGCTTTGGCATGGGCTGCTCGCCGACTAAGACAATATATGTCGACTCATACTACTTTGTTGATCTCTAAGATAGATCCAATAAAATACATATTCGAGAAACCCGCTCTCTCCGGAAGAATAGCAAGATGGAAAATGGTCTTGACGGAATACGATATTCAGTACAGTACTCAGATAGCAATCAAAGGAAGTGTACTGGAAGATACTTTAGCTCATCAAGAAGTAGATGATTATAAGTCTATGAATTTTGAGTTCCCAGGTGAGAACATCATGCTAGTTACTAATTATGAAGACCGTATGAAGGACCTGAACTGGGATCCCGATGGACTATAGTTTTTGATGGAGCTTCCAACACGCTTGGGAATGGAATTGGTGATATGGTCGTCTCTCCCAAGGGTTACCATACGCCCTTCACCGCCAGATTGTGTTTTGACTGTACCAACAATATGGACGAGTACGAAGCATGCATCATGGGTATCAAAGCTGCCATCGATATGAGAATTATACTCTTAAATGTATATGGGGACTCAGCCCTAGTGATCAGTCATATTAAGGGAGATTGGGACACGAAGCATCCAATTCTCATTCCTTATCGAGAGCATGTGTTGACATTAACTCTATACTTAGAAGAAATCACTTTTGAACACATTCCACGAGAAGAGAATCAATTGGCAGACACACTAACTACCATGTCATCTATGTTCAAAGTCAGATGGGATAATGAAGCTCCTCGAATCACTATTGAAATACTAGACAAACCATTACATTTCTACGAAGTTGATACTGATGGAGTAGAGGAAAAGCCTTGGTTCCACGAAGTAAAAAGATACCTCGAGACTCAAGAGTGTCCCGAAGGGGCATCTGTAAATGATAATAAATTTTTAAGGAGGTTCTCTGCCAAGTTCTTTCTGAGTAACGGAATCTTGTACAAGCGCATCCACAATTTGACTTTGCTCCATTGTGTAGACAAGAAGGAAGCTGAGAAAATCATGGAAGATATGCACAAAGGTGTCTTTGGTACTCACTCCAGTGGACATACAACAACTAAGAAGATTCTGAGAGCAAGCTATTATTGGTCTACCATGGAAACCGATTGCCATCATCATTTCAGAACTTGCCACAAATGCCAGATTTATGCTGACAAAGTACATGTGCCTCTGGTTCCTTTGAATGTCTTGACTGCTCCTTGGCATTTTACAATGTGGGGCATTGATATGATTGGAGAGATTAAACCTACCACTTCTAATGGGTATCATTTCATCCTTGTCGCTATTGATTACTTCACAAAATGGGTAGAAGCGGCCTCGTTTACCTCCATAACCAAGAATGTTGTGGCTCGATTCAATAAGCACAACCTTATCTGTTGATATGACATCCCTGAAAGGATCATCACGAACAATGGTACCAATCTTAATAATACTATAATCATGGAACTCTGCATGCAGTTCAATATTAAGCACCATAATTCTTCTCCGTACCGACCAAAGATGAATGGTGCAGTGGAAGTCGCCAACAAGAATATCAAGAAGATCTTGCAGAAGATGACAGTGACATATAAAGATTGGCATGAGATGTTACCATTTTCTCTTGATGGCTACCGCACTTCAGTACGTACATCAACTGGGGAAACCATGTTCTCCCTAGTCTATGGTATGGAGGTTGTCTTACCTAATGAAGTCCAAATTCCTTCCCTAAGGATCATTAAAGACACAAGTTTAGATAAAGACGAATGGATTCAGACTCGACTTGACCAAATAAATTAGATTGATGAAAAAAGGCTTGCGACTGTTTGTCATGGTCAGATATATCAGAAACGCATTATCAAAGCCTTTAATAAGAAGGTCAAACACCGGGCGTACCAGGCTGGTGATTTAGTAATAAGGCGTATCATCCTACCACAAGGTGATCCCAAGGGTAAATGGACTCCCACATACGAAGGGTCATTTGTGATCAAGAAGATATTTTTTGGCGGTGCTATGATGCTTACCACCATGGACGGTGAAGATTTTCCATACCCTGTAAATGCGAACATAGTTAAAAAAATACTATGCATAAAAAAGACCTGCTAGGTTGACAGGCCTAGGCAAAAATAAGGGCATCTCGGAGAACCAAAAGGGTTCAGGGAAAAATTAGGTATATATATATATATATATATATATATATATATATATATATATATATATATATATATATATATATATATATATATATATATATATATATATATATATATATATATATATATTGTACATCCTACAAGTCGAAAACCTGAAAAGGAGGCTTGGGCAAAAAAGGATATCCCGGTGAACTGAAAACCCGAAAGGACGGTCCAAGCAAAAGTTAGGGATTAAAACGTACGACTATGTCTCATTAGATCTGATGCAACCGACCAAATAGTCATCAGATATAAAATCAATAAAGTCGCCACCAAATGTCTTTTATCCCACTGAAAGGAAAAGGTAAACATTAAGTAAACCTGAAGAGGGAGAAATCATGGTCTTGTGACCATAAAGATCGGGTAAGGGAGTTTGTTACGCGAGGGGAAGGTATTAGCACCCTACACGCTCATAGTACTCTATGGTATCCACTCTTGTTGTTCTAATCAAAGGTTGTAAAGTCTAAAGTTTAAGAACTAAATGCGTGCAAAGGAAAAAGAAAAGAAAATGTGGGGAAAAGAAACATAATATTTATAAAAATATGCTCGATTAGGCCCCACAAAAACCTCCACCTACGTATCCCTTGAAAGGAATCGGAGCAGCCATAGTTCGACTCACATGTTTTGGTTTGTTTGTGTATTTTAGTTAAAAAGACAAAAACAACAATCAAAATGGCAAAACATCAGATACAATGACAAAACATCAACAATAATGGCAAGACAACGAAAATGATGGCAAAACATCAACAACGATGGCAAAACATCAACAATGATAGCAAAACATTAACAATAATGGCAAAATATCAACAATGATAGCAAAACATCCACAACAAAGGCAAAGAATCAACAATGATGGCAAAACATCAACAATGATGGCAAAACATCACAATTTAGATGATAAAACATCACTCCTAATAATGATATTGAAAATCAAAGTAGGATAACAAACATAAGCGATGGTGAAGCATTGACACAATGATAGTAAAATATTATGGCAAGGATGGTAAAACATTACAAGTTAGATGATAAAACATCATACCTAACAATGATATTGAAGATCAAAGTAGGATAACAAACATACGCGAAGGCGAAACATCGACACAAAGATAGCAAAATATCATGGCAAGGATGGAAAAATGTCAACTTAACAAGATTTAAAACAGAGCTAAAAGGCGCATAAACAATTAAGATTGATTTGTATTTTTTATCTTGAAGAAGGATTTAAGTTCATTAGAGATGTTTTATGATTTGCCAAGAAAAATAAGGTTTTTGTTTTAAGATGAAATATGCAAAGAAAAGAAAATAACTAAGGGAGCTTATCCTAATCTCTAGCCCTAGTGTAATCATACAATAATGGACCTATGTCAAGGAAGAAAGGGGAATATCTACCTAAGTGAACATGCTTGGATAAATATCCTAATGTCTAGCTCGAAGACTAACCCTACACGAGCAATCCTAAAGGAGCATGGCATATCAAACAAGTGCTTTAGAAAAAGCATACAATCAGGATATACTAACTTCAAGGGATAGGGATATGAAGAGAAAATGCTTTAGCTAAGGGGACGGATCACCCGAAGCAAACAAGCGGGAGACTGAGATGAAATAAAAAATAAAAGCATTACTTTATCTAAGGGGAGCGGATCACCCGAAGCAAACAAGCAGGTAACGAAGTATCAACAATGGCCATTGTGAACTCCTGACAAAGTATGGGGGTTGGTTGCGAACCCTTCTCCACATGAAGGACTCGATACACAAGATATGTACGACTCTAAAGCATCGACGTACAAAGTGAGCTAAGGATGACACATACTAGAATGTGCGCGGGTTGATTGCAAACCCTCCCTGCTTGCCTCCTTTTAAGGACTTGTCATCTGTAATATAATACAGTGATAAATGTAAACACACGTGCATCATACCTACTTCAAAGGTAGTATTTTAAACAAACACAAATAGCATACAGAAAGCGGTGCCTGCTACAAGACTTTAAACAGTGACTTCGAGCGCACACTCTTTATTTCCTACTTCTCATGATGTCTAGAAAGAAATAATGTTCCCACTTCTCATGATATCTAGAAAGCATTAAAGTGTGAAATGAGATAAACAAGAGAAAATACCAAACGAATATCAATCTGTTGCAAAGCGTATCCAAACAAAGAAACCCGACGATCTTTACGAAAGCTTCACCAATCAAAGAAAAGAGTCAGAAATCAAATGCTCAGAATAAGTGTTGAAGCATCATCGATGTGAAAATAAATCACAAGAGGAAGGTGCACCAAGCATATCCAAATATCACATGATAAACCTGCATAAGACTCAAATCTCAACAAGCAAAGGTGAATCACAAGTCTCGTGTAACAAAATGATTACTAACATAATCGATAATAGAAAATTCAAAACAAACTTCTACAAAAAAAATTCTGAAAAAAAATTCTATTCTATTTCACTATTCTTTATTGTTTTAATTAAAAAAAAACTATCTAACTAGAAAATTAGTTCCTAATCACAAAAAAAAACTAACAAGTCTTATCAATTTTATAATTTTTTTAATCAAAAATCTATACAAAAAAAAGGAAAATGTCATGAAAATCTAAAAGAAAAATTAAACTCAAGGGAGTGTTATGGTAAAGTCTGGGGGTGTAGTATAGAACTCATGTGCTAGGCCCAATCAGTTTGTAGCCCAACAAGGTTTTTGTTCATAAAACATGCCAGCTTCTAAAAACTAGAGTGGGCTTGGGGAATGATGGCTGAGTGTGGCCCAGGAATTGGTCTTTTGTAGTAATAACTTCCAGCAAAAAGCTTAGAGGGCCCAAGGAAAAGGAGGACCCGGTCCACATCCAAAACAACAATCCAATCCAGATTTCTTAACATCATTACTTATTGACAAAATTGTTGTTAAAAGAAAATGAGAAAGAAAAAGAAATAAAAAATGCAAAAACAGTGCAGTTTCGTAGATGTTAGGGTTCAAGAAAAGTAACGTTTCAACTTTATTGAAGGGAACTAGAACGACCTCTTATCACTTTCAAATCACGGTGGCCATAACCTCTGTTCTTTCTTCTCCGATCTTTCAGCACCTCCGTCGAAGTCCATTCATCACCGCCTTGTAATCATCATTCTAATTCTGCTTCAATTTCATCTTCATCTCATTCTTCATTCCAATTCCAAAACATCCAGTCTCTGCTCTTCTTCGAAGCTCCACCTTCATCTCAATCTCCGAAGCCCCAATCAGAAACATTGCGCCGCCGCTTATCATCACATTCGATTCCGCTTAAGTTCGCTCGCTGCTACCTCAACGGAATGCCTCTATATCTCGATTCCGTCTTTGATCTACTTCTGCGTGTTTTCCGATCTTGCTTTGACAACTTAGGTCATCAGAACTCAGGTAAGAACTTGTACACGACCGTTCGTTCTTCGTCGTCAACTTTTTTTTCTTGCTGCCTATGTTGCAATGTGTGCGTGATGGTGGTAGGAGAGAATAACACCATGATGTCATTGCTGCAGATTGAAGTTGATTAGAGCGATGAAGATGATATGCGTGAAGTGATGATTCAGAAGATGATGAAGCGTTTAAGATGATTAATGATGAAGTATGTGGAGATTGTGGTGAGGACGATGGTGACGCACGGTCTACAGATGAAGATTAAACGATGAAGATATTTGAAGAGTTTTGCAGAGAGAAAGAGAAGATGAAGATATTTTGTGAAGGTTTTCAGAGAGAGATGGAGAATCGGGCATTGAAGCTGATGCTGAAGCAGAGAGAATTTTATGAAGTTTTTTTTTTTGTGATTCTTCCAGAAATTGGAGAATGATCTCAACAAAAGTTAGTTTTATGTTTTATATCTATTATTGCTGTGAAAGTTAGTTAGAGAATATAGAATCTCAACCCTCGATTCCAAAAGTTAGTTACAGATTGAATGGAGGAGTTCTCAGTTTGTTATTCGGTTAGGATGAGCTGGCAATGAGCTGTTAGTTGAATCAGTTTGCAGTTAGTTTCAATTGGGAGTTATCTGATTTTCTATTTTCACGGTTTTCTAATATACTTGTTTGCTTCTGATTTTTGGTAATAGGCCTTGAACAAATTTTATTTGGGATTTTTCCATCTGATATCTGTTATTATTTTCTGATTTCTAGACTTTTGATGTTGTTTGCCATTTTACTGTATGTGCATCTTGATGCTGTTGGGCTGAGCTGTGATATTTCTGTGTAATCCTGTGTTACAGAAGTTTGTAATTATTTTATTGTGATCCAAGTGAAACTCTTTTTAGTGTCTTTCGTTTGAGATTTGCAGTAGGAAAATTGGGCATGTGATTAAATATGATTTTGTATGAGGCTTTTGTTATTTTTGCAAACATGAGTGGATTCCGATTTTGCCAGACTGATGTTTTGTTAGGCTGGAAATGTGACTTCCGTTTTTGAACCTCTTTTGAATTTGTCTTTTTGTGAACCAATTTTGTTTGTGATTTGCAATAGACTTCAAATAGGCCCATGATTATGTGCTGAAATTCTGACTTGAAACAAACAAATATGAGACTGTTGTTGTTGTGAACCTCTTTGAAAACCAACTCTATATTCTGATTCCTTCACAAACCCTCATGATGAATTGAGAAAACCCTTTTGAAATTTTTTGTTTATGTTTAATGCTTTTGATTATTGCTAACCCATTCTCTTTTTTATCTCATGAACTTGATGGATGAGCTTGAAAAAGCAAGGAGGAAAGCTTGAAGAAGGGTGAGAAAATGATTTGAAGATGAAGTCGAGGAAATGGATATGGAGAGCTTGAAGATTCGAAGAAGAATGAGTCTTGGAAATATTTAGATTTATGAAAATCTTGAATTGTTGTAATTACTTGATTCTTCAATGGCAACCTTGATTTAATTTTGAATTTGATTGTGTTGAAAAGAATTTTGTAAACAAACTTTGAAACATTGAAATTTTCTTTGTAAGCCTTGTATGGAAACATGTAAAATTGAATGAATGTGGCACTTGAATGTCTTGTAGAATACTTTGTGAAACTTGTAGATTTGATATAGTTGTATTCAAGTTTAGAACGACTTTGCATGATGAGAGGAATGACTTGAATTGTAACATGAAATGTTCTTGGATTAATGAAACATGAGAGATCTTTAAATCTCGTTGGTTATAGTATTTGCAAATTGTAGAAATTAAACCAATCTTGTCCATAATACAATAGAATTCCTTGGTTCAAAATAACAAGCTTGTAATATCTCTTCATTTCTAATCTTAGCAAGAAAAGTGCAAAACATTCTATGTAGCCAAAAGGACAAACTTTCCCTCCAATAGCTTCTTTGAAATTCAAACTCTAAAAATCCTGAAATATACTCTAAAAAGCCCAAAAAATCTTCACTAGGCTTTGCATCATAACTTCACCACTTGAACTCAAAAATTGAATCAACAAGAACCAAATATTCACTTAATCTCAGAAGCCAGATAAAATCTCTTCTTATGAAAACCTACATAGGAACTCAGTTGATGATTGAAGGTGTACTGAGATAAAACTCATGATGCCAATGTTTTAAGAATTTTATCAAGAAAGGCATCACACACTTCAGAAATCAAAACCCATGCTTAAGATCCAATAGATAGAAGAAGATGTAATTCAGTTTGAAACCCTTGCAAATCTTGAATCCTTTGATGAGACAAAGAACCAACTTCCCACAGTTTTGAGAACTAAAAATCCTTGATCCCATCACAATGCATGAATGCAATGCAATATGATGAATATAATGAAACATAAACCTAAATCAAGAGGGCAAATTTTGGGGTGCAACAGGATCACTCATCTATTTACAAGTAGTTTTATTACCGCCATCAATTTCAAACGGTATAGAGCAATTCAATCATCTTCTTCTGACAGCAAGTGATGAGATACTTGAAGACATAGGGGCAATAGTAGAGTTCAAACTCGATGGGATCGTTTCCACATAGCTGTTTTTTTTTGTATCACTTTGTACCCCTTTTTCAATTTTTATGACGATTTCCTCTTACTAGAATTTTTGTCTCCTTGTATAAAATTGCCTGCTTATAGAAAAACTTTCAAAATAAATGCAAATATACTTCAAAGTTCAAAATTGGTTTTACTTTCTATGTTTTATTTGCAAAAACGTCCAATGATTACGTTGAATGAACATATGCATTTGAATATGATTACTACTTACAAAATATATGCATGAAAACAGGGTTATCATTTACTAAAGACTCTAGGAGTTGGGATAATGTTCAAGTTATCTAAAAATTCCCACAGTGCAATCTCCATAGAACTATCTCTACGGAGCTATCTTCATAAGCTCATCGCCAACAGAGATATATTCCCCAACAAATCTAATATACCCTCAGACAGAAATTGGGGCATCTTCCAGCAGCTCACCTCTATATCCTTGATGGATAGCTCTACATGATTATCTTCTCCAATAGGTCCCTTAGCAGATAAGGAAGTTTGATCATTCTCCAGCATACAGAGGAAACTTCCTCAGCAGATTCTATGAGATTCCACTCCCCATCAAAGATTATTTCCTCAACACAACCTACATGGTTTATTTCCTCAACAGAGTTTATTTCTCTAATATTGCAATTCCTCGACAAGATTCTCTTCTCCGGCCAGATATAATTCAACGTTGCCCTCCCCAAAGAACTGATATCCGTATCTGAAACCTGGTCGGACAACACATCAGATGATTATCCATCTCTTTTATCCCCAGTCAGGATACATAAGAATCAAATCCTTTGATAAAAAAGAATGATGAATGACCGACTCTCCTTGAATGCTTCTATCCCCAAGCAGAAGTCGAACATCCCCAGCGAATTATCCTCAAACAGAAAGCGGAAATCCCCAGTAAAGTTATTCTAAATAAAGTTGAAAAATTACTTTCTTCATCCCCAGCAACAGTCAGGGATTTATTTTCCCCAGCCATACATTGTTACAAAAAGCTACAAATACGCTCCAACGACATATTGCATCCATACATTATTTACAAAATATCATAACATGAGCATATGAAGCACATATAATATTCTCATTTATTTTGAGAGCATCATTGCATAATGCATTACATACATCATAACATTGTATAAAGCTAACCTTGTCTTTTCAGGTTAATTTTATGACAAGACGAATATTATCAACAATCTATAGACAGGTTATAGATCAATTCCTGAAACAAGACTAGGTGTCTATCTACATGACCAGATGATTTCCTTCAGAGCTTCATTCCGAAAAGCGTTTCCTTCAGAGCTTCATTCTAAAAAGAATTTCCTTCAGAGCTTCATTCTGAAAAGCATTTTCTTCAGAGCTTCATTCTGAAAAGCATTTCCTTCAGAGCTTCATTCTGAAAAGCATTTCCTTCAGAGCTTGATTCTGAGAAGCATTTCCTTCAGAGCTTCATTCTGAAAATCATTTCCATCAGAGCTTCATTCTGAAAAGCATTTTCTTCAAAGCTTCATTCTGAAAAGCATTTCCTTCAGAACTTCATTCTGAAAAGCATTTCCTTCAGAGCTTCATTCTGAAAAGCATTTCCTTCAGAGCTTCACTCTGAAAAGCATTTCCTTCAGAGCTTCATTCTGAAAAGCATTCCCTTCAGAGATTCATTCTGAAAAGCATTTTCTTCAGAGATTCATTTTGAAAAAGCATCCCCTCATAGATCGAAATCTGAAGAGCATTTCCTTCAGAGCTTTATTCTGAAAATCATTTCCTTCAGAGATTAATTCTAAAAAGCATTCCCGACATAGACCGATATCTAACAAGCATTTCCTTCAAAGATTCATTCTAAAAATCATTTCCTTCATATATTCATTCTGAAAATAATTTCTCTCAGAGACTAAATCTGACAAGCATTTCCTTCAGAGATTAATTCTGAAAAGCATTTGCTTCAGAGATTCATTCTGAAAAGCATTTCCTTCAGAGCTTCATTCTAAAAAGAATTTCCTTCAGAGCTTCATTATAAAAAGTATTTCCTTCAGATCTTAATTATGAAAAGCATTCCCTTTAGAGATTCATTCTGAAAAGTATTCCCTTCAGATATTCATTCTTAAAAATCATCCCCTCAGAGAACGAAATCTGACGAGCATTTCCTTCAGAGCTTTATTCTGAAAAGCATTTCCTTCAGAGATTGATTCTGAAAAGAATTCCCCTTAGAGACCGACAACTGACGAGAATTTCCTTCAGAGATTCATTCTGAAAAGCATTTCCTTCAGAGATTAATTCTGAAAAGCATTCCCCTCAGAGACCGACAACTGACGAGCATTTCCTTCAGAGATTTATTCTGAAAAGCATTTCCTTCAGAGCATTTGGAGAGGTGACGAGCATTCTGAAAAGAATTTCCTTCAGAGATTAATTCTGAAAATCATTTCCTTCATATAAAATCAGAGAGATTCATTCTGAAAAGCATCAATCAGATAAAACTAGACAAAGATACAGTCGGGGGTACACTCATTCTGATACTCCTATCAACAATTACTTTGGATGATATCTTTAAGCCAATCTCCAATGGCATCCCGTCACCTCTCCAAATGACATCTTTAATCCCATTACCGATATAATCAACCAACAATGTTACTTCGTGCACATGTGAGTGCAAATTTCTGGGCACTTAAGTGTTCAATCCTCTTCCACCTTCAGATCAAGAATGGCTAGCATGCCAATCTAATTCCTCAGGTTTAATAAGATTGAACAGGGGCAGCCGTTGTACCCAAAATTTTTCTCTCTTATTGCTCAAGAAAAATTAATTCAATATACCTCCTCATTCTCATGAAGGCTCAATTGCTCAAGACTACTCAAAGATTGATCAGACAAACCCTTCTCCTAAGCATTGACCTACAACTAGGGTTTTGTTTTTATCAAGGAAAATTGGAATTCTAATGCCTCAAGTGGATTTCATGGTTTCTCATATGCTTCAAATAGTCCTCATGCCAAATTTCAAGCATTGTATCACAAGTTTGCTCAGTCAATTAGTCAGATGATTGAAAATCAAGTATATTGGACAAAAAGTCAACTTTGACCAATTTACAGTCAAACTTCAAGATTTTTGGTCAACATCAGGATTTTGAACTCATATTCATCATTTGATCAAGGGTTGATCATGATTCATCAAGAAAACTCAAGATTCATCAAAATTCAAAAGTTACTAAATTAGGGTTTTCTTTAGGAGAAGTCAACTAACCTTTGACCAAGCATAACTTTCACATACTTCATCATAGATTTCTAAACCAAAGCTCATTTTGAAATAAATTCAATTCTCTAAAAGTTTGTCTCTCTAAGCTCAAATCCAAAAACACTTCATTTGAGAGATATGGGCCAAAACATTACAGGTCATTTTAAAAGTCAACAAAAATACACTTTTTGTCAAAGCACTTTACATAAAGATAAATGCTTCAAATGAAAAAATACCCAACATGAAAGTTGTAGGAGACATCTTGAGATTTCCAAAAATTCAAGGATCACCTTCTTATGACCAAAAATTAAGTGAGTTATGATTGGTGCAAGTTGGGAAATTTTGAGAAAATGTATGAAATCCAAATTGAGCAAATTTGAATTTTTGGGCTAATGGGCCTTTCTTTTAAAGTCCAAGCGTGTTCCTGACCTCATAATGGACCTCTAAATCCATTCACGCATCAATTTAATTTTAATTTTATTTATTTTTATTTTTATTCATTTAAATCAAAATTAGATCAAATCAATGTTAAATAAATGTATAAGGCATAAAGGCTTGTGATCTGAATCTTTTGTAGGCCCAAGATCATGCTACAAACCATGCAGAATTATTTGTGAATCAAATCTTCATTGGTTTTGTAATATTTCAACTTATTTTCAAACAAAATCAAAGATATGATTTCATATGATGTCCAGTCCCACCACTTAACCTAATCTTTTCTACTATAAGTACACTACAAGTTCAGACCAAAAAAACACGCGAGGCTGCCCAAGAAACAAGGGTTTTGAGATTGAAAATTTGCAAGGAAAGGGTTAAACTTGAATTCTAGTTTTAATCCACCCTCAAGGCTAGGTAACGGTTCAAATCAATCCATGAGGTATCATAGAG